CCTCCCTCGGAGGGTTTTCGTGGCATGGCAACGACGTTGTAAAACATCGGTGTAAAATACGCCGATCGCTTCGTGACCTCGGCAAGCCAGGTAGGTTGCCGCTTTTTCTTGGGGATGCGAGGGCAACGGTCTAAATGACGAATACGGCATGCATGGCTATGAGCACCACGCACGACAAAGCATCCCACCTTCTGCTTGTTCGGCTCCATCCTCTCGAGGACGCGTGGCCAATATCCGAGCCGCTACACATGGCATGCAAAACATGCGAATACGCCCCCCTCCGCCCCCCCGCCCCTCCCTCGAGCAAAAACACCCCACCTTCTGCTTGGAAAACCCAGGGTCCACCACGTAAACGATGCCGTCGATGGTCAGCGACGTCTCGGCGACGTTGGTTGACACCACCACCTTTCTCCCCACGGGCCCCCCCGGAAACTTGGGGCCCGGCGCCTCTCGGAATATCTTCTGCTGGGCCGCCGGCGGCAACGACGAGTACAGCGGGTATACCGCCAGCTCCCCTTCCTACCGTACACCGGGAGGGGCACAAGACCGGTTGTAGATACGCAGCAGGGTGAAAAAGGGAGGGTCAACGACAATGACGTGCCCATGGAGGTTCCGTTTGTGGCGCCTCCTGTATGTTGGAGAGATAAGAGATGGTAAAATCTGACAATGTGCCAGTACAACAATATGCCATTGAAGCCGAGCCCCGTTCGCAAAAGAGAGCCGTGTCTGTTCGTAGAGCCGCTGCGCGCTTAGGTATGCAGGTACACTACCACGGGTACGGAATATGGCATCTGATCGCATTTCCATCACCCCCATACGCCGTCACCGGACAACATCAACACTATCAAAATACCGGAAGTTCCATGATGCTCTATGGCCTTCGAAGACGGAGCGACCCAAATACAACGAGGCACAAGCCACGATGGACTTGTGCAGCCGCAGTGCCTTCTTCAGAAAATTGAGCAACGCCACGACCTTGAACATTCTACGCTCACCCTCTACTCTCACATATATCTGAAGGTGAAGCATGATGCAAATGAACTAGGTAGACTAGCTGGCGTGGAGGGCATCACATACCTTGGTAGGGTCCTGGGATTTCTCCACCTCCGCCCTGATGGCGCGGCAAGCATCCTCAATCTCCACCTCACCGGTCAAGAACAGAAGCACGTCTCCAGGATCCTCGCACTATCATGTAGTATGTAACAACGAGTTCACGGATACAAACGTTCCGGGAGGGCAGGGGAGGGATTGCACAGGCGACGGGCCTGAGCCACACCACAAGAAACGTCGAATGAGGTCGATTGAACGATCCTCTAGTGACCAAGACGTGCCCACACGGCTCGTACTTCACCCGGGCAGCACGAGCACTGACGACGCTTGCGAGTACCACCGTTATCATGCGTAAGAGAAAACGAAAAATATCAGATTTTCACGTGCACGCTCACGACCACCGCCATGTCGCTGGTGACACTAGAATGCGATGGAAGCTTCACCTTCATCGACCAACGACAAAAAACACCTCGGTTGTTTGGTAGGTTCGGTACAGAGCGAACAAACAGCGGGGGGGGGGCCAGTCGGGAATAAAGCCAGCTCAACGACGACTCACCCCGCGATCCGAACGGCAGCCCAACACGCCAGCACAGAAGGTATCACAAACCATGCACACAAACACACACATGACTGCACCACAGCACGCGCCGCGGACGCGGCCGCCGCCGCCGCCGAACCGCCCCAGAGCATCGCGCCGCACCGAACATACATCACCACCCAACACGCAAGTCTGCCCATTCATCTCACCTTGTGTATCTGCACGACCGTTCTTACGGCAGCCTCGACGTAGTCCCTCTCCGGGGTAGGGGTGTAGAAGATCTCCACGGGGAAGGTACGGCCGGGAACCTTGAGCAAGGGAGCGTTGTCGAAGTACTTTTGGAACTTTTCGGCGTCGAGGGTTGCGCTCATCACCACCACCCGCATGTCGGGACGGTTCTTGAGCACCTCCTGCGGGGGGAAGGGGTCAGAGAGTGTGGTTTGCATGGGTGTAGGGGGGATGGTAGCGGGACGCACAGGTATAATACCAAGAGTATTGCTGGCGCTTGGACACCTACGACGAAAAATGTACATCAAAAAAAAAAAAGCGACGGCGGACGAGACAACGCCAACCTTGCAAGCAACAGAGACAGGCGGAAAGAGCTGCAGCGATGTGTACAACGGGCAGCCAACACCCAGCAGCAGCAGCAACAACAGCAGCATCACCGATACCCGCAATGCCACCACTGCCGACAGCAACCACGGGGGGCAGTAAACCCGAGAGCTGCAGCCACGCACACGACGATGTCCACGACCGTCCCACCAACAAACACACACATACATACACCAACACCGCGGAGTCCCCCCCCCCCCAACAT